ACTACTACTACTACTACTACTACTACTACTACTATTTACTACTACTACTACTACTACTACTACTACTACTACTACTACTACTACTACTACTACTTACTACTACTACTACTACTACTACTACTACTACTACTACTACTACTACTACTACTACTACTACTACTACTACTACTACTACTACTACTACTACTACTACTACTACTACTACTACTACTACTACTACTACTACTACTACTACTACTACTACTACTACTACTACTACTACTACTACTACTACTACTACTACTACTACTACTACTACTACTACTACTACTACTACTGCTACTGCTTCCCGGTCGTTGGGTGATTCCCTGGTCATTTTTCCTCCAACCTGTGCGGTCTCGTTGAGAGTAATGAGCTTGTTTCTCGCCTCTTGCATTGACGACACAAAAATACGATTAATACTGGGGGGTGGAAATGGGGCCGCCAACCGCAGCTGCAATAGTTTGCTGCTTGGAAATATTGCGCGCAACCATTGCGCGCAATTATCGCGAACTATTGCGCCCGCGGGCTCAAGTACTGCGTCCTATTGCATGACCAGACGCAGCTACTGCATCGTGCCAGGCCAACTATTGCAAACGATTGCTTGCAAAAAAGCGAGAACAGAAACGATTGCATCTCAGAGATAAGCGATTGCCTTCGCGCGACCAAGCTATTGCACCCCAACTATTGCACGAGGCACAATACGATGTATGTTATCGTTTCCAACAATTGCATGAACTATTCCGCGCACGCTTCGCGGCCCCATTACCAAAGACCCCATTAGCCCGATTCTGATGCGAGGTCTTCTGGCCACTGCTCAGTTCCCAGGACGACTGGGGGATGTCCCATTTAACCAGTGTTGAAACCATCGAATTGGGAATAGAGCACTGCCGTTCTGGAGGACCCCCTTGTTGTGCTAAATTGCGGGACGTCTCCAGCGAAACGGCCGTTATGGCATCCGCAAGCAGCGACAACACTGCTCTGAAGGACCCCCTCTGTGGTGCTAAATTGCAAAAAAAGTCTCAGGCGAGAGCGTCCTTCATGACACTCGGGCCCGCTCTGGCCAGAGCCTCTCGGAGTAAACTGCGAGAAGTCTCGCACGGGAGCGTGGTTTGTTGCTGTTAGGGGGGGTCGGTTTGGGCGGTGCCCCGGAAACGCCTGAGGGGGAGCCTCAGTCTCCAAGGAACTGCAGCCGACGCCGAGGCGGGAGCGCCAGGGCAGATAGAGGGGGTCCAACAACAGGAAGTGTTTGGTGGTGAGTCCACCACCGTACCTCTGGCAAGAAGCGGAGTGCCCTAAGGCGCATGCAGCACAGAGAATAGGAGGCCACATGCGAACCCTACCCCTACCCCCCACGATTTCTGAGGGGGAGGGTGGGGGTCACTTCGCTCGGGAGCTCCTGAATTATGTGAACCCCACCCTCCCCCTCAGAAATCGTTGGGGGTAGGGGTAGGGTTCGCATGTGGCCCCCTAGAGAAGGCTGTGCTGCTGCTGTAGCGAGAATTGTAAGTCTTTCAGGGCCCGGACCAGCCGTCTCCGGGGCCAGCCCAGGGTCTGCCGGAGTGGCTCGCGTCGGCATGCCCCGCCCAGGAGGGCCATACAACGAGCCCGGGTGGCTCCAGGAGGCCCCCAAAAGGTCAAAGAGGGCCCAAAGTCGCCCCAATATCGCTCCAAGACGCCCACGATGGTCTCAAGATGGCCCCGGAGGCCTCCAAGACGCTACGAGAGGCATCCAAGAGGCCTGCCAAGAAGGCCCCAAGAGGCAAAAATCGTTTGTTCTCCAATGGTTCTGAAGGAATTTGGCGTTCTCGCCTGTTCGGCATTCCGACACTCCGAGACGGCCCACGGGGCCCCCAAGACCACCCCAAGACGGCCCAAGAGGCCTCCAAAGAGCGCACCAAGACGGCCCAAGAGGCGCCCAAGACGACCCAGGAGGGCTCCATGACGGCCCCGAAAGGGGCCGAAGAGAGGGAAAACGAACCGAAAATCCGAGCCTTCCACCCCAAGAGGTCTCCAGGAGGCCCCAAGCGGCGCCCAAGAGGCCCAAAGAGGCGCCCAAGAGGCGCCCAAGAGGCCTCAAGAGGTCCACAAGAGGCCCAAAAGAACCCTCAAGAGACCCCAAAACGGCCCACTAGAGGCCTCAAAATTGCCTCGGGCAGGCGTCCAAGAGTCCCCCCACGAGATCCCAAACGACCATCCAGTAGGCTTTATACCCACAACCCAGGCACGATGGCGAGATGGGCCGAAAGCCATAAGATAGTCATCAACAGCGGTAATCGTCTGTTCAAGAATGTTCGATCTGATCTGCTCGCGTGTCGTTCAACATGTATATCCCACAACCTCGATACCCGTCCTCTTCGTTTTCTATCGTACCCCTTTGGGGGTGCAGCTTCCTTACCTGCCACGTGCACTTGACGAAGCCCCTAAAAAAGGGGAGGGAGGAGGGAAGGGCCAAGGAGGAGGAAGACGGATGGAGCTCGAGAAAGGAGGAGGTGGAGGAGGAGGAGGAGGAGGAGGAGGAGGAGGAGAAGGAGGAGGAGGAGGAGGAGCACGAGAAAGATTACCAAGAAAGGGTTTGGAGCAGGAACGCGAAGCGGCGGAACCAGACGGGCGGGTCAGGCGGGTGGGCCCGAACGGGCGGGTCGGGCGGGCGGGTCCAGTCGGCCGGGTCGAGCGGGTCCTGCAGGGGTCGCGCTGAGATCTCGAGCGGTGGCGCGACTCCCAAGAGAGTCGTGAGGAAGTCCACGGCGAGACTGAGTGTCGAGGGCGCGGCGTCTCCACAAACTGCAAGTATGATCCACGCGAGGGGGCGATCCCGGGATGCACTACGAGGAAGTCCCGCTCGAGAACGCGAATTCGAACATGCGTGAGGAAGTATCACAAGACTTTCCCTTGTAAGAAACAGGGTCCGAGCCCCGAGGGGAGCACTTTGATTCAAACAAACACGATGGGCACCAGAGGGGGGGGAGACAATAATATCTTCGTAAAAATGGGACTTGTACATCATCATCCTCTCTCTCTCCTACTCACCCTCATCCCCCTCGTCATTCCCGCGCCGTCCTCCTCACCCTTCCCTGAACCTGACCCCACTGTCCGTTCCACTCGACTCCTCGGTGTTGGCGCCGCCGAAGATGACGATGCCACCGCCCATCAGCACAGCGGAGTGTCCGCTGCGCGGCAGGGGAGCGCCATCGCCTCCAATCCCCCGTGGTGGTCGCAGACCAGGCCACGGTCGCGCGCATCATCACAACCGCCGTCATCAACACCACTTCACCGCCACCACCACCATGATCATCATCGTCATCGGCAGCAGCATCAGCACAGGGGTCAGCATCAGCTTCAGCATCAGCATCATCAGCATCATCGTCACCCTCATCATCATCACCCTCATCATCATCACCATCATCATCATCATCATCATCAGAATCAGCATCGTCGTTATCAGCATCATCATCATCGCCATCAACATACTCACCTGCATCAGCATCGTCATCATCATCGTCATCACCATCAACATATTCATCATCATCATCAGCGGCATCATCATCATCAGCGTCATCATCATCATCATCACCATCATCATCAGCATCATCATCGTCATCATCAGCATCATCAGCATCATCAGCATCATCAGCATAAGCACCATCATCATTCGCAACAGCATCATCAGCATCATCGTCCTCGTCATCATCAGCATCAACACCGTCATCATCAACATCCTCATCAGCGTCACCATAGTCATCATCAGCAGCATCAACATCATCTTCATCAGCATCATCAGGATCAGCAGCATCATCATCATCATCAACAGCAACACCATCTTGATTATAAACACCTCAGCTCTAGATCGCGATCGACACAAACACCACCATAATCACCACCACTGTAATCCCCATCGTAACCGCCATATCATCGTCGTCGACACCATCACCATCGTCATCATCATCAGCATCATCGTCATCATCATCGTCATCATCAACAGCATCATCATCGTAATCAACCTCGTCATCATCATCAACAGCAGCAGCGTCAGCATCATCATCAGCAGCAGCAGTACCATCACAATCACCATCACCATCACCATCACCGTCATTATCACCAGCCTCATCATCATCATCATCATCATCATCATCATCATCATCATCACCATCACCATCACCATCATCATCATCAGCAGCAGCATCACCACCATCATCAGCATCACTATCGTCATCGTCATCGTCGTCGTCATCGACGGCGGCGGCGTCATTCTCAGCAGCATCATCACAATCGTCATCAGCAGCATCATCATCGTCGTCATCATCGTACTCAGCATCATCAAAATCATCGTCATAATCAGCATCACCACCATCACCATCACCATCACCATCTCATCATCATCATCATCATCATCATCATCATCATCATCATCATCATCATCATCATCACCATCGTCGTCGTCGTCGTCGCCGTCGCCGTCGCCGTCGTCAACATCATGATCACTCGGGCCCAGCTCGTGTGTGCGAGACGGCAACGGGGCCAGCCAACGCGGTTGGCTCGAAATCAAAATCGCAGATGCCGTCCGCAGAAGCACCTAGACCGCATCTTTGTCCTTGGACTTGAACTTGCACTGCGGATCGAAGTCTGGCCCCACTAGCCGGCCTCGATATTGTTCTGCTCACCACACCTGCTGGCTCACCGAATCTCTCAGAAGCGCCACGCATGCTGACAGCGCGACTGCCTCCGAACAGAACGAATCCATCCAGGATCTGCCGAAAGTGCCCCCCACAACCAGGGGGCGTGGCTCCCCTTATTCCAAAGATGACGTCCACGATCCGCGCCGACGCAGCGCATGCTCTGCGAAGAACGCCGCCGTCGGAGCCAACGACCACGCTACATTCGCGCAGGGATTTGGTGGAGCAGGTCGGGCATGTCACCCTACAGGCGGATTTTGGGTGTAAAATCCGAAATACCCCCAAAAATGCTCCAAATTGTCAAAAAAAAAAAAAAAAAAAAAAAAAAAAACTGTTTAAACTAGTCCCCAGACTGTTTGTTTACTATAGCTGCATATCCCCCTTGTGGAGGGACAAGGCCCGACGAAACCAGCCCTGGTGTTGTACTCCCCCTGCGCCTCGCCAGAGCCGGGCGTTGGTAGAACTGGCAAGCCTGGTTGAGTGATTCTGGTCAATTCGAAGGCTCCGGGGCCTTACCACTAACCGGGTCCCCTTACCCGGGGTCCTGGCCATACCCGACAGAGGGTCAGCGCAGAGGGCAGAGTGGGGACGGGCCGGCCCGCCGCTGACCTCGCGCCTCCGTGCAGAAGTCGGGTCGCGCAAACGGCGGCAGGCCTAGCTCAGACCGAAATGGCACGCGGAGCGCCACATCGAGACTAGCCACATGTCAAGGTCTACAGGGCAGGTTTTAATACACATGATTTTTAATATATAAGAAGTTTAACACATGATTAAAATATGAAAAATTAATGCATAAACTCATCCTTGCATTTATTAATCAACCCTTTATTTTTTGATACATGGTCCGCGCGCGGAGCATGTATTAAAACGGGCACTGTACTTCCCAAAACCGGTGCAAGCGCGCTGTGGCGCAGACCACTCTCGCAACATTGAGCCACGAGGTCGACGAAGCAAGGGAAGCGGCAAGCGGTGCTCTTGTGGCGCAAGCACTCTCACCAGGCCCGGCCCATGGACGAGGTGCCCGTAGGAGCTCGGCTCGCCATCGAACCAGGACTCTGCAGCACCCCCAGCCAGCTTGGGACTTCTGGCGCCGCTGCCTTTGGCGTGGGTGCAGATGCCTTTTCCGTTTGCGAGCTGGCGCCCACAGCTCGGAGCCCGCGTGCTTCCCCGTTCGCACCCCTCGAGCCACCGGCCGATCATCGAATCCGCTACCCTATCTGAAACAGAATTCGATCGCGTGTGACTGAGATCTGCGCTTCGACTGCGGAACACATCGAAAAAGTGCGAGGTCCACCTGCATGGGAAACGCACTCGCCGTGCGTAGTCACGCGAGCACAGAGACCCTGAGTCGCCATAACCGCCCACAATTGGTGTTGGCGCTGCGACTTGTCGCCCTCGATCGCGACGCCACGGCAGTCGATACGAACATGGACCATCACCACCACAACCACCACCGTCATTCGGGAAGACGAAAGACTCGGACTCGGGGGACTCGGAGTGGCCTGACGGGGCCGTCAGGGAAAAGACGAGACCCATTCTGAAACTTGAAGCGAGCTCCCGCTGCAAACATCTCACGAAACCTGGACCTTCAAAATTCAAGACGGGCCCATCAAAAAGCGTCGGCAAACTCGAGTTCCACAGAAAACGAGTCTTACGTTCCACCGAGACGTCCGTTCAGGAGTCAGCATGATCAGGAGTTCCACGGCTCGCTGTCTATCCTCTAACCCCCCCCAAGTCATCCGTCCTGCCTCTGTGATGTCGATCCATCCCCACTGCCGGCGAGGCACTGACAGCTGCTCGGGCTGAGGAGAGGGAAGGCGATAAGGAAAAACATGGCAAAGGAAAAGATATCACACCAACCACCTTTATCTTTCCGCGTACTACGCGTGGTGGGTGCCAGGGCCTACGTTGCAGGAGTGAAGCCGCGGCTCGCCCAGCGGCGTGTGGCGCGTCTCAGGGGACCCCCAGTGCCCCCTTCTTCCTCGCGGTCGGCTCTCCTCCTTCGCTTACACTCATGCCTGAATGTGATTGAAATAAAAATGCACTTAACGGAGATAGCACTATATACGACATAACAGTTGCAGACTCCCAAACTACGGAGGCATCAGCAGCTTTTTCTCATCATCTTTCATAATCATCAACACCAACAAGAACGTCCAATAATACGTTACCAATATGATGGCGCCCGAAGTTCCGCGTCCAGACGCTGCCGGAAGTCTCGGATACCCCCTCCGCGCCCACTGGCGAAGAGAGTACCACGCGACGCATGCTTTCCCTTGTGACAAGATAAGGCCACGACAGGGACGTGATCGGACCGGAATAAATTAGGGATCTCTGAGATCCGGCGGCTCTGCAGAATGTATCGGGCGCCGCGGCCGTTCCAAAACGCTCCATAACGCTCTGAGAGCATTCTGGAACGCTCTGGAACGATCTATTCTCTTGCACAGCTGCGTTCTAGAGCTCGAAACCCTCTGCTCTCGTGGCTCATTCGTGGGTCCTCCCCAAGGCCCTCCCCCTCCCGCTCTGGCTCCGCCCTGGTCTTCCCCAAAGCCCTCCCCCCTGGCTCCGCCCCCTCCCCCGCCCATCTGGGCCGCAGCCCCCTCGCACAGGAGCCAGGGCACGTGTGCCACTCGTCCCTGTCCTGGCCCCCGCCCGTTTCTGCGCGAGGCGAAGCAGCCCGGGGGACCCCAACGGGACCGCACCAAAGGTCACTCCGGCGAAGGGTCACTCTTACGTTTAGTCGAGATTCTGCGCGAGGCGAAGCAACCCGGCGCAGCAGGCCCACTGCTGGCGCGCGCAGACCCCGGCC